TACCTGGTAATTCATGATGGCACGCAGACACATGATGCAGAGATGAACATCATCTTTCTGGCTCACAACACGCGAGTTCCTCAAGGCTTTTCTGTTTTAGAGAGGTAAATCAGCCAGGTTTAACTGAGGCTTAACTGAAGAGCCGCTTAATAAGACCTACAATAGCACTGAAAATAAAGCCAATAATTATTACCCATTTACCCACTTTTTTAGAAGAATGTGCCAACTAATTCTTAATGAATTAATTTAGAAATAAATAAATAAATAAAGTCCATCGTCAGAAACTGCAGACTCTGTTTGAAGAAGCTCAAAAACTTCTGCAGTAAATACTTCAAATAATACTCATGCCAGCCATCATTCACCAGATGAAAACAAAACCACTGAGAGCATGCTCTCATAATTGTATTTTGCGTCACTTAGCGACATGTCTCACAGTCACACCTAAGCACACCCCGTCTGAACAAAAGGACCCCAAACACCTACGTAAGGAGGCGTTCTCGCTATGAGAGGAATGCAGCCACTTCCCATCAGAAAGATAAGAAGGACACGTCTGCAGCTGCTGAAGGTGAAGGCTAGGAGGAGATCATGATTTGAGTTTAATAGCATGTGACCCTGCTCATTCCCAAATGACCTGTTAGGAGTGACCAATCACTCTCACTTATGCATTAAAACAGTGCATCACAGCACACACTCCAAAGGACACTTCACGTGTAAATTAGCCACATCGGCAGCTTTTTAAAGTGGTACTAATTGAGTCTCCAGGGTTGAGAAGGAGCTCCTACGATTACATCAGCTGAATGGAAATAGGTCCCTGCAGCCAGCTTTAAGAAATCCTTAACAAGTTTTGCAGTGAGATGTGGATCATGGGCGTGCTGTCGATATACCCTCGGCCATGTGTCTATTTTTAGTTAAAAAACTTGTTTAAGTCAGTTTAAAATTTTACTTTTCTCACTTTTCAGAGTATCAATAACATCAGTAAGTCATTTTAATGTAATAACAATGAAATAAATTAAAGTAGCCCATAAATTTATCACTGTGCTTTTGGTGTTTCCCACACTGTACCTGACTGTGAAGGCCTTGCCGCCCTTCAAGGCGCTGTGTGTGGGTGAGTTGCTGGCACTTCTTTTCAGATCTTCCCCTGGCTTGTCAGTAGTTTTGCCTTTGTCTGTGGGCAGCATGCCGTTGTCCACAGTCTCCACCTCATACCTGTGAGTATCACCATTAAAAGTAATGTTAATTAAGTTTTGTGACCTTCTTGGACTAGTGAGTGACTGTGTGACTGAGACGGTTAAGCAGCGACTGCTCTGAGATATCTTTAAGCTGATACCTACGTGACAGCGCTGTGGGCGACAGACAGATAATCCACAAGAACGTCCAAACCCTGGTTCTCCTCATTTAAGAACTCCTGAGCCCAGCTACAGCAGGACAACACAAAACAAATGTAACTCAGAGGCAGAGCATGGCAGGAACAGTTAGTAAAGAAGTGTTTTAAAAACATGACTTAAAAGTTGTAATTTTGCTAATACACACTATATTTCATTAAATGTGTTACAGGTGGTTGAAGAATTCACATTTTTATTTCATGCTTCGGTGTAATTTGTGTGATATTATCAGCTTCTTATCTCTATCAATGGTACAATCATATTGTACCCACATGGGAGAGACTCACCCGATGTGATTGGTCCTCAGGGAAATCTCCAGCTCTCTCAGGACCTGTGTGGATTCCTGGACGCGTCTCCTGAACTGATAAAGCATATACAACGTGAGAATGAGGTCAAAAAATACTTAAAGAGATCTTATTATACTCATTATAATATATGAAGTAATTGATCATTATGTGCCTCTCTGCTCTTCATCCATTTAAAGTAAATCGTAAATCCACCTAAAGCAG